TTATTGCTATTTATCACTCGATATTGATATTGAAAGGGATTTTTGGAATATTGTGTTGCTGTATTTTTTGGAAGTTTTTTTATTCTTTTTGGTTCTTTTTTCTGATTCCATTAGTTGAAATAATATTGATATTTATGATGTATTGTTTAATTAACACTAGTGTCGAATCCTGGCCAGGCACGTGTTTATTAACTATGTTTTTTGGTAAGTGTTGAATTTATTTCTAAGGTTGTTATAGTTGAATAAATTGTCATTTTTCTGTTGTTGAACCCTGATTGTAGCGGCGTGTTTATTTTAGACAGTTACAAGTAAACAGTCACTTATTTGCAAACTTTCTAATATATTGGCATACAAGTTCAAAACTTTGAACTGACATACTAACCAACTGACTGACTAAATGGCTGATTGTCTAACTCACAATTTACGAGTCGCTGTTGTGTTTCTATATAATATTTTTCCCACAATTTGCAAAAATGCGAGACGTCAACTTAAATTTAAACACTTAGGAAATTTCTAGGCATCGCTACATTATTCCAATCATTTCTTCTAGCAAACAATAGAAAACATGTATGTTAAGATATTAAAAACAGTATACAAGACTATATGTGAACAATACTTGTCTGTATTTGAAATCATTTGTTTTTAACAATACAGCTCTATAAGTATGTATTAAAAACAATGACAATCTTCCAGGGCTCTTTTTGCATGTTGTTGGGGAAGGAGTGGTGCATTTGTCCAACAGAGGGCGTGCCGATGTTAACGATAAAGAAAATTATATAGATTTTCGGATGAGACTTTTGGGAGAAGAGCAAGGTAAATCAGGTAGTGTATAAAATAAATTGAATTAATTCTTTTTGTGTATGAGCAGTTTGGGTATCTATTTCTTAAACTTTACAATTACCAATTTTAACGATTCGATTATTCCCCATAATGACGGATAATTTCTACATAGTCATTTACAATATTAGAGCAGATGTATCGAGCATTTGCACATAAAAAAATTGTGTATGTTTTGATCAGTATTGTTTTTTACATTACAGCATATGAAACTACGTGTGTCAACCTTTACAATCAAATTCACAAATACTACATTTATCAAGCTCTTCTAACTCGTGTGGAAAAATAATATCTATTATGTTTTTATTGTGAGAACAATGTTTTAAAATATGCCAGTCAATCTGTAATTATAAATGTTTTAGTCTTTGGTATACTAGGCCTTTGCATAAGGTGACCATTCATCCCATTTTCCATTCGTGTGACCTGGAAAATTTTGGACTTTATCCGGGATGCCTAAGTATCCCGTTTTTTCGAGTTATTTCCCATAAAGTGGCACAATTTTTTATTCAAACGAAATAATAACAGTTACAGCTAAACCACCTCCTAGATGTAAAGTATTACTGTTTTATTCCTTTCCTATCGTCGTCTCATGGTAAGAGTTTAGCAAAATAACCAGCTGCTTTCGTTCTAATTTTCCGAATGCGCCAGGTTTACTTTTACGCACGAACTGTCACCCTGTTTATAGTTTGTTTATTTATTTATTTTCGGTCATTCATACAAAGATACTCAACGGCTACCTGCACTATCCGTCCCTAATTTCGAACTGGTAGACTAGAGGAAGGCAGCTAGTGAACAGCACCCGCCACCAACTCTTGGGCTTTTCTTATCTGACAGAATAGTGGGATTTTGTTATCATCCTTATAATGCACCTACCGCTCATAGAATCTAAATAAGTCCTAGGCTGAAAAGGGGGTAATTTGTCATATTTTTACTTATGTTAGGTTTTTGTGGTAAAATTTACTTGTTTCATTCTTTCTTATGTAACTAATAATTTCAGCCCAGTTCATTTATTTTCTTTGAGGTGAACTTAGGCCGGTATCCCCACATGATGGTCAGTTTTTTTTATATTTGTTAAATTTTTATACGTTATTCATCTTATTGCACATGTTTCAAGGTATTTAAATACCTGCGTATCATATATTCAGTCATATAAGATAGATTTGATATCTTATTGTGTTTCGTGATAATTTTTAAGTTGGTGACGATTGTTGCTTCATGTGCTTGCTATATTTCCTTTATGTAACCCAATGCTATTATTCAGTGGCACTCGTGGTAACAGAGCAACGTAATACACAGAATGGATTATTAAATAAAGTTAAGTACTAATATCCTCCATTGAGCTAAATCACACAGCTGTGGTATTTTCAGATTTCCTTCAGAGAAGTCTACAGTAACTGAAGAAAACTGGAGAATTTATCAGATTTCCTCTGCCTTTGACACAAACGAGAGAACCTGGACACACAGTTGTAAACAATCGCAGTCTTTCTCACAGATGAAAACAGAACCAGGTTTAACACTTGTACGAGTGGTTGTGTGGTCGACTTGGAAGAGTTTGTTTGTTTGTTTTAGAGTAAAGCCACATTGGGCTATCTGCTGTGTCCACCGATGAGAATCGAACCCCGGATTGTAGTATTGTAAGCCTGTCCCATTGGGAGACTACTGGGGAGGGTGAGATAAATTTTTATTAACGTCCCATCGTCAGTTTACTCTAGCTAGATCATTCTAGAATTTATGTTATGTTGAACGGAATCTATACATCTGCAGAATTTCTTATACAAAAGTTATCTAAACTTAAATCTCGGCAATGGTAGTCTCCTTGAACCTTAAGCCTGTCAAGAAGCTAGTAAAAACCTACAAAGATGTTTAGTCTCACAAATATCTATCTTCAAGAATGTTTAGTCTCGGAAGTATCTTAGTCTAAAAAATCGTGCAAATAAATATAAAAGTTATAATATATACGACGTTCTCCCCCCCCCCCCAAGATGTACGCACCATCCACACGACTGAAAGTCACTCTTATAACAACAGGTGGATCATACCCCCAGCAATCCCTAGGTTCGCAACCACTGGATCTATTCATAGCATCTTCATATAACAGTGGTGTCTTCTAATAGAAGATACGTGACGACCTTGGTGACTCAGGAAGTCCTGTGATGATCAAGATGAGAGAAACTCAGAAGTACCCATGACCAATGTTCTATACTTCGAATAAGCCTGAAACACACTGAAGAGTTTTAAAACTATCTATCATCTAAAGGGATAGAAAACGCATTACATGCCTGCATACCATACAACTAAGTTAAAATTTCATATCAATTTATTAAGCATAGAATATTAGTGATTTAGCCATCGTAATCTCCACATTGTCTACAGTATGTAGAAAGTTTATAAGAAATCCAACATTTGCTTACTCAGGTTTATGTGGCAAACTCAACTTGAACGGCACCATGAGATACATAAGGGTTAAGTGGCCAGGTCGTGAAACCCCTAATTATGAACTCCTGAAGAGAAGGCAGTCACTTAACTGTAACCGCCGTCTATATGGCTACTTTTAATCGAATAGCAGGGTCTATTGTGTTGTTTATAATGTCCCTGTTGCTGAACTTGACCAACAATATATTCATGTTTCAAACTTTGGACCTTATGATCCACGTACTGCGAGGTTTTATTGACTATTGCCAAACGCCAATATGCACCTCGTAAATTACTCCACTCTCTACAATTAATCTAAAAAAACTTGAAACTACTTAACATACGTGAATGAGACAGTAACTTTTTTTATAGGAATAAAAGACAACTAGCTATACAAATAAGATAGTACTTGGTTGATTGTTTGAAGTTAAGCACAAAGCTACACAATGGGCTATCTGTGCTCTGCCCACCACGGGTATAGAAACCCGGATTCTAGCGTTATAAGTCCGCAGACATACCGCTGTGCCACTGAGGGGCTATTTCGTTGATACTGATACCTATAAATAAAATCATGTGTCGATCGAAATTTACGTGGAGGAAATAAATAGTTCGTTTATTTCAAAATTTTCTACCAAAACTATAAAATGGGTTATCTGCTCATATCTGTCTCTTATTAGAACTGGTAGACTAGAAGGGAAAGCACCTAGTAAAAGTACCAACTCTTTTGCTACAGGGAAAGCACCTAGTAAAAGTACCAACTCTTGTGCTACAGGGAAAGCACCTAGTAAAAGTACCAACTCTTGTGTTATAGGGAAAGCACCTAATAAAAGTACCAACTCTTGTGCTACAGGGAAAGCACCTAGTAAAAGTACCAACTCTTGTGTTGCAGGGAAAGCACCTAGTAAAAGTACCAACTCTTGTGCTACAGGGAAAGCACCTAGTAAAAGTACCAACTCTTGTGTTGCAGGGAAAGCACCTAATAAAAGTACCAACTCTTGTGCTACAGGGAAAGCACCTAGTAAAAGTACCAACTCTTGTGCTACACTCGTTTCACCAAATAGTTGGTTTTCCCCTTAACTCACTCTTATAAAGTAACTTTAGTCCGAAGTACATTTCCATATATTTACCTATAATTTTAAATTAGTAAGTGTTCCTCTGTGATAATAAATGTAATTTATTATTTCAATACATGATGGAATGTGTATAAGAAAACCTGTTTTACTAAGGTAACATGTACAAGTAGTGATGCAAAGGTATGCAATCCAATCTTCAAAATGAATATAAACGTTTTAAAAAAGTATATATATTCAAAGAAAATAATAGTTTTAGAATATATAGAATAATGCGTAACTTAGTGTCGAATGTTGTTTTTTAAATATCATTTTAGCAATATGAAAAATTTCTTCTAATTTAAACAAATCAACTTGAACGAAATTCAACGGCTACATTTGTAACTTCACTGAAAATCATCAAAATCTTTCATAGCGAGCCCGTGCTTTTTTAACTTGTGAAATATTGAAAGCTATACTAACTTTTTTTTTATAGGAATAAAGAGACAACTGACCATTCAAAATGATCAGATAAGATATTCTGGTTGATACTGATACCTAGAAATAAAATGATGTGTTGAATAAATATAGATTCGTAGTTTAGAGTTACTAAAGTAATACTGAATAATGTTGCCCATATTATACACAATACAATATACTAAATTGTTTGAAGTGAGATATACGTTTTGACCACTTAACATGTTTTGCTTTTCCAGAAAACAAACGCGTGGCAGTACTGTCCCCAGGTGAACATTCTTTTCCATTTAAATTAGGACTCCCCCTAGGACTACCCTCAACCTTCCTAGGAAAACATGGCTGGGTACAATATTACTGTAAGCTAGCACTTAAAGAGTCCTCTGGTATTGTACACAAAAATCAACAAGTCTTCATTATCATGAACCCCATTGACTTAAATTTAGAACCTTCTCTTCTTATGGTAGGTAGCACTGCTGTCCAAACTCTACACTTTCATGTTTTTTTGTTAAATTTTGTAAAACATTTGGATGGTCACGTAATAAATTTTGTTTTTATAGGATGATATTAAGTTAATTAAGGAGCTTTAACGTTAAAAAATTTCTAAATAATGTGGCTTAAAACTTAAAAGGAAGAACTAAAAAAAAGTTTTAAATATTTTATTTTTGCGTTTTTTTCTTTTTTATTAATATCCGCTTTTCATTGAAATTAGTTTTTTTATGAGTATTATTATCACACAAGGCTTAGTATAGTTGTGTGAATAACTATTGTGAATACATCATTGTTGTTAACAAACTGAATTCCAGGTAACTTATGACGCTCATTTTAATTGACTAAGATCTGTATACAAAACATGCTTTGATGTTTATTGTTTCAATTTTTACTAAAAAGAGCATGTGAAATGAACTTTGAGCTAACATTCGCTCCAAATTTAGACGTAAATATATTTTAAAGTCTTCCATTAATTACTAAATTTAGCACATTTTGTTCTGTATTTAATATTTATCTTTTAGACGTAATTATATTTTAGTCTTCCATTAATTACTAAATTTAGCACATTTTGTTCTGTATTTAATATTTATCTTAAAGCTTTCGGACATTATGTTTCCCCAACGTTTAACTCACTAATGATGGTTCTTCTCTTTTTGTTCAAACGTTTTGTTTTAATAATATCATCTCCATAGCAACCTTTTCACTGTGAAATTGAAGATACTCTTGGAGTCGGTTGTCTGTCTGTCGGTCCTGTGACATGCACCGTCCGTCTTGACAGAGGTGGTTATGTACCAGGAGAAAGTATCTCCATTTTTGCTACCATAGAAAACAACAGTAAGACTACCATCCGGAAGACTAGAGCAATACTTACTGAGGTAGAGAGTAAATTTTGATGAGATCTAAATGGTATTGCATACAGTGAATGAACAATATAGTATGATAGTATCTAAACTCTATCACATAAATAACTTGCTTCAGTTTAACAGTGTGTCTTCCTTAATACTTTTTATCTTTTTTAAACAGATGTGTATTTCTGTTTGAAAGAACTTTTTCCATTTAAGTTTAGTTGTTTGTAAGTCGTGTGGTTTCAACCTTAAGAAAAAGCTCTAAAGTATTTGTTTAAATATGTTATTAATTTTTTGTTCTCTTTTTTGTTTTTATTAATATCCACTGTTGATTGAAATGAGATTTTCTTTTATTCTCACACAAGGCTTAGTATGGTCGTATGAATATCTGTTGTGTAATATATCATTGCTGTTAACTGACTGAATTCTAGGTAATTTATGGTGCCCATATTTATTCACTCTACTGTGTTAAACATGTATGTTCACCATCTGACTTCGGTATTTCCTTATGAATAAGAGTAATGTGATATAAAAGGATAAAGGATGGTGGTTGTGAGATGTGGTGGCTCTTCCTAGTCAGAAGGTATCCTTACATACTGTCGTAGATATTGGTGGAGCACCTGTTCCAGGGCCTTCTTGATCCAAGTCATGGAAAGTGCACTCGTGAGGTATATAAAATGAATACTTTAATGCTTAATGGCCCATCTGGTGATAGTCAGTTCCAATTCGCATGGGTTTACATGTAACATATACAGCATTAACAATTTTTGAGACCCAGGGGCCCGTCTGATACACATTTAAAAATCGTGAAAGGCCCTCCTGTGAAGATGACCGATGCGGCATTCTTTGAGGCCTCCTACGAGTCCACAACCACAGATCCTCATACCCTTATCGTAATAACACACGAAAC